CCCACATCTCTTGTGGGCTTTGCTCTTTTCTCTTGTTTCTCTGCTCTATCTCTGTGACTGATGTATTTAATTGGAAGGTGTTATCTTCAATCTCTGAGATTCTTTCTTCTGTTTGATCTACCCTGTTTTTGAGGCTTTCCACTGAATTTTGTAGTTCCCTGAATTGATTTTTCATTTCTAGGAGTTCGGTTAATCTTTTCTTCATTGTGTCTATTTCTTTAGTGAACTTTTTTTCCAGGTCCTGGAGGCTTTTTGTGGTTTCTTGTGTTGGTTATTGAGTTGTTCTTGCAGGTCGTTAAGTTTTCTTATGATCCACAAACGGAATTTCTCTTCTGTCATTTTGGTTGGTGTCCATTTCTAGGGGGCTGGTGCTCCTCTTTGGGGGTGTGTTTTCCATTTGGTTCTTCATATTTCCTGAGTTCTTTCGCTGATTTCTTCCCATTTCGCTCAGTTGTTGTTTCTTTCCTTTAGGTTTTCGTTTGGGTATTCACACGTCTTGTTTAGTTTCTGAGCTGGTAGGTGGAGTTGCTCACTGTCGGCAGCCGTCGCTGGGCTGGTGTCTGCAGGTCTCTCTACCCGCTGGGGAGCCCACCAGCAGTCGGAGATGTAGTGGAGGGGAAACAGCTAATTCCCCTACCCTTCCCACTGGTCTTCGGGCTGCTCCGGCGGCCTCCCGTCTTCTGCCTCCTTAATTACACAGGTGGAGATAGATGGCAGGAATGGGAGCAGTTCCTATCTAAGCTCCACCCCCAAGGTGGGGCTAGAAACTTTGGAGCCAAAGGCCCAGCCCCAAGTCACCATAGTGTGTGGGTCGTAATGTCTCTCTGTCTTGTATTCACCAAAGGCAGCTTCCTACTAGGCTAGGCCCTGCCCAGTCAAACTCCAGGGCCTGGACACCGAGCGCAGGAGACCTGTGCAGGTAGAGACTGGCCTGAAGCCGGCAGGCCTCTAGCCAGACCCACGGATCCCCGTCTTCTGTCCCTTTAATTACACAGGTGGAGATAAGCGGTAGGAATGGGAACAGTTCCTATCTCAGCTCTGCCCCCAAGGCGGGGACAGAGACTTTGGAGCCAAAGGCTCAGCCACAAGACACTGGAGCGTGGTGGAAGTAAAGTCTCTCTGCCTTATAGCCACTAAGGGCTGTCTCCCACGAGGCTCAGCCCTGCTCAGGCGGGCTCCGCACTCTGGACACAGAGGGCGGGAGACTTGTGCAGGGAGAGACTGACCAAAAGCAGGCAGGCAGGCAATGGGACCCACCAATCCCTGTCTTCTGTCTCCTTAATTACACAGGTGGAGATAAGCGACAGGAATGAGAACAGTTCCTATCTCAGCTCTGCCCCCAAGGCGGGGACAGAGACTTTGGAGCCAAAGGCTCAGCCACAAGACACGGGATGGTGGTGGACGTAAAATCTCTCTGCCTTATAGCCACTAAGGGCAACTTCCTACAAGGCTAGGCCCTGCCCACGCGGGCTCCGCACTCTGGACACAGAGCACGGGAGACCTGTGCAGTGAGAGATTGACCTGAAGCCAGCATGCCGGCAGGCTGGCAGCCAGACCCATCATGCCCCGTCTTCTGTCTCTTTAATTCCACAGGTGGAGATAAGCGGCAGGAATGGGAGCACTTTCTATCTCGGCTCCGCTCCCAAGGCGGGGATACAAACTTTGGAGCCAAAGGCCTATCCCCAAATCCCCGGATGTGGGGGTCGTAAAATACCTCTGCTTTATAACCACTAAAGGCAGCCTCCTACAAGGCTCGGGTCTGCCCAGGTGGGCTCCGCACTCTGGCCACAGAGCGCGGGACACCTGTGCAGGGAGAGACTGACCAGAAGCGGGCAGGCAGGCAATGGGACCCACCAATCCCTGTCTTCTGTCTCCTTAATTACACAGGTGGAGATAAGCAGCAGAAATGGGAACAGTTCCTATCTCAGCTCCGCCCCCTAGGCTGGGACAGAGACTTTGGTGCCCAGGGCAGGGCTCCGGGTTGCAGGAGAGTGTGGAAGGCAATGTTTCTCTGCCTTAAATCCGCCAAGGGCAATCTCCCCTATAGTACTGCCCCATCCAGGCAGGGTCCACTCTCTGAGCACAGAGTCAGTGCCACTTGTGCAGCAAGTGATGGTCCAATATCAAATTGGTGGAGCAGGGGCACGTACCAGCGCTCTCTCTGTGCCTCCCCTCCAAACCCGGAGCCTAAGTCAGCGCTGGAATGCGTGGGCAGGATCGGTGCCAGAGGGGCAGAGGGGGGGTCCTAATGGATCGAGGAGTCTAATTTTGCTCACTCTGACCTCTCAGTGCTATCCCAAACCTCCTCTATATCCAAAGTCAAAGTCTCCTTCTGTGTAAACTCCCCTTAACCTTGACCTGGGAGTGTTCTGCAGAGAGATGCCCGAGTGGGCTCTGGTTCCTGCGGCGTGGAGAGCGGTTGCTGGGCTCGGACCCTCCCCCACCTTAAACTGCGGCAGCTGTGTGCTCTGGAGAACTCAGCGTGTTCCCTGCTCTATTCTCCTCTCCACACGGCTTAGTCCCACGCTGCCACTTCTCACCAACTTCAGGCACCTCCCGGCCTACGTGGAAGTGGAGCTCAGTGTAGGAGGGGGTGTTTCTCAACACCAGGTAGGGCTGGTGCCACTGCCAGCTGGCAGTGGCTTAAACCATGACTCACTCCCTCCCTGTTGTGTGCCTCCAAATCCCCAAGTTTTGTGGAAAAATGATTGGTTCACCTTTGCTTTAGGCTGTAAATCGTCTTATCCCTCCGTTTCCTGTTGGATGTCTGCAGGCTTGCGAAGCTGGTCCTGTGGAAGTGCAGATCGCTCGAGTGTGGCTATCCTCTTTCTTCACTTTTCGTTCTGGGAGCAGAGAGCCAGGAGGGCACCCCTACTCCGCCATTTTCCAGAACTCCAATTTATTGCATTCTTTCACTCAGCTAATCCTGTTCTTAGCTGAAATTAATATTGCTAACACCATATTAAGATTTTATATTAGGTGGATTCTAGACCAAAGTGCTGCTCCCTGTGCTTATTTATTTTGCAAATGGTAACAGTGCATGCTAGGAATTGTTGTGTGATTTCAGGGCATTACATGATGGTGTAGATACTATTAGCCTCATTTGCAAATTAGAAAACAAGCTCAGAGAGCTTAAGTGACTTGCTAAAAGTAACACAGCTGGTAAATGGCAGAACTAGGATTTGAACCCAGGCAAGCTGACTCTAGAACCTGTGCCACTACGTTATATAGCAATAACACATAGCTGTTATAAAAACTTTCCTGAATTAAGTTACTGTCATCAGCCGAGAGTTCTGTGTGACTATTAAGACTCTCCACTATTATCTATATTAATTACATTTCTCAATTTTTATCCCAATATCTGTTCATTTTTAATTGCAGCCCTTTCATGTCATCACAAACAGGCATAGCACAATAGCAGCAATGCCAAAAGCACATTTACCACACCATTGTTGGACTGTTACATGTGGCAGGGATTTAACTCTGTGATATAATGGTACTGAGTAGTATTTTTTTTCATTTATCTGAGAACAGGAGAGAACCTCTAAAAAAAACTTTCTTGTAACCTGGGTTATGAGTAACCAGAGTCTTATTCTTCCTCATCTCCAGGTCTGTGGGTTCTGGGTTGCCACAACTCAGACTTTCGGAACAGAGGCATGACAGCCTTACTGAAGGTTTCTAGTTGTGACGGGAACACTGGTGATTATTATGAGGATACATATGAAGATATTTCAACATACTTGCTGAGTGAAAATAATGTTATTGAACCCAGAAGCTTCTCTGAGAATTCAAAGCACCCTAGCATTAGGCAAAAGCAATTCAGAGCCACCACAATTCCAGAAAATGACATACAGAAGATTGACCCTCAGTTTGGAGAGAGAAAACAGATGTTTAAAGTACAAAGTATCTCCTCTAGTGATCTGTTGATGATCTTGGGACAGAGTCCTACTCCACATGGGTTATCCTCATCTGATCTCCAAGAAGCCACATACAAGGCTATTCCTGATGATCATTTGCCTGCAGAAATAGACAGTAAGGAGGGCCCATCTGAAGTGGCACAAGTCAGGCCAGAGCTCCATCACAGTGGGACCATAGTATTTACTCCTGAACCAGGCCTCCAATTAAGATTAAATGAGAATCTGGGGACAACTATAGCAGTAGAGTTGAAGAAACTTGATTTAAAAGTTTCTAGTTCATCAAATAATCTAATGACTTCACCAACAATTCCATTAGACAATTTAGCAGCAGATAATGAAAAGATAGGTTCCTCAGGACGCCCAAATATGCCAGTTCACTTTGATAGTAAATTAGACACCACTATATTTGGCAAAAATGTATTTCCCCTTATTGTGTCTGGTGTACCTCTGAGCTTGAGTGAAGGGAATACTGTTGACAAGTTGTTAGAACCAGCTTTAAAAAACAGTCAAGAAAGTTCACTGGGAAAAAATGTATTATTAATGGAGAATGACAGGTTATTTAAAGAGAAAAGAGCTCATGGTCCTGCTTCATTGATCAAAGATAATGCTTTATTCAAGGTTAATATCTCTTTGATAAAGATAAACAAGGTATACAATAATTCAACAACTAGCAGAAAGACTCACATCAATGGCCCAACATTATTAAATGAGAACAGTACCTCAGTCTGGCAAGAAAGTGATCCTGAGTTTCAAGAAGTGGTGTCTTTGATTCATGATAAAATGTTTATGGACAAAAATACTGTGGCTTTGAGGTTAAATCATGTGTCAAATAAAACTACTTCATCAAAAAATGTGGAAATGGCCCAACAAACAAAAGATGGCTCTGTGTCACCACATGCAGAAAATCCAGAAATATCATTCTTCAAGATGCTGTTCTTTCCAGAATCAGAAATTTGGATAAAAAGAACCCATGGAAAGAATTCCCTGAACTCTGGGCAAGGCCCCAGTCCAAAGCAATTAATATCTTTAGGATCAGAAAAATCCATGAAAGATCAGAATTTCTTGTCAAAGAAGAATAAAGTGGTAGCAGTAGGAGAGGATGAATTTTCAAAGGACACAGGACTCAAAGAGATGGCTTTTCCAAGCAGCAGGAGCATATTTCTTACTAACTTGGCTAATGTACATGAAAATGATACAAGCAATCAAGAAAAAAAATTTCAAGAAGAAATAGGAAGGAAGGAAAAATTAATCCAAGAGAATATAGTTTTACCTCAGGGATATACAGTGACTGGCATTAAGAATTTCATGAAGAACCTTTTCTTACAGAGCACGAGGAAAAACGTACAAGGTTTAGATGAGGGGGCATATGCTTCAGTACTTCAGGACAACAGGTCATTAAATGATTTACCAGATAGAACACAGATTCACATGGCCAATTTCTCAAAAAAAAGGGAGGAAGAAAACTTAGAAGGCTTGAGAAATCAAACTAAGCAAATGGTAGAGAAGTATCCAGACACCACAAGGATGTCTCCTAATCCAAGCCAGCAGAATGTTATCACTCAACATGGTAAGCAGGCTTTGAAACAATTCAGACTCCCACTAGAAGAAATAGAGCTTGAAAAGCAGATAATTGTGGATGACACCTCAATCCAGTGGTCCAAAACCAGAAAATATTTAACCCAGGGTACCCTCACACAGATAGACTATGATAAGAAGGAGAAAAAGGTCATTACTCAGTCTCCTTTATCAGATTGTCTTATGAGGAGTCATAACATCTCTCAAATGAATAGCTCTGCATTACCCACTGCAAAGGTATCAGTATTTCCATCTATTAGACATACAGATCTGACCAGGATACCATCCCAAGACAACTCTTCTCATCTTCTAGCATCAGCCTGTAAGAAGAAAAGTTCTGGAGTCCAAGAAAGCAACCATTTTTTACAAGGAACCAAAAGAAATAACCTTTCTTTATCCATGCTAACCTTGGAGATAATTGGTAATCAACAAAAGGTTGGCTCCATGGAGACAAATGCCACAAATTCAGTTACATACAAGAAACTTGAGAACACTGTCCCCTTGCAACTAGACTTGCCTGAAGCATCTGGGAAAGTTGATTTGCTTCCAAAAGTTCACATTCATAAGGAGGATCTTTTCCCTACAGAAACTAGCAATGGGTCTCCTGGCCATGTGGATCTCATGAAAAATATTTTTCTTCGGAAAACACAGAGAGCTATTAAATGGAATAAAGCAAATAGACCTGAAAAAATGCCTCTTTTGAAAGGGACAACAAAAAGCTCTGAAAAGACTCCCTCCAAGCTGCTGGGTCCTTTTGCTTGGGATAACCAATATGCTACTCAGATGCCAAAAAAAGAGTGGAAATCCCAAGAGAAGTCACCAGAAAACACAGCTTTAAAGACAAAGGACAACATTTTGTCCCTGAACCTATGTGAAAGCAATCATGCAATAGCAGCAATAAATGAGGGACAAGAAGGACCCCAAAGAGAAGCCACTTGGGCAAAACAAGGAGAGACTGGAAGGTTATGTTCTCAAAACCCACTTGTCTTAAAACGTCATCAAAGGGAAATAATCCTTACTACTCTTCAGTCAGATCAAGAAGAAATTAACTATGATGATACCATCTCAACTGAAATGAAAAGGGAAGATTTTGACATCTACGATGAGGATGAAAATCAGAACCCTCGCAGCTTTCAAAAGAAAACACGACACTATTTTATTGCTGCAGTGGAGCGGCTCTGGGATTATGGGATGAGTGGATCCCCCTATGCTCTAAAAAACAGGTATGAATTTACTGGTTATTCCTTTGTCCTTATATTGTGATCTTTGACTTTCCCAGGTGCTGAAATGGTAGAAAAGGCACACCTTATCTGCAGCAGTGAGACTCCAGATATTGCTTTATAGAGGAATCCTGAAAACCATCTGGCAAAGTCTAGATGAAGCTTAAGAGTAAATGGAAGGTTAGATTATGACATCAATAATGAGAGTTAGAGGATGATGTAAGGAGGCAAAAGCAGGTCTTTTGTGTCCAAACTGCAGGGAATGCCAATTATATGGGATTGTGTGACATAGCATCCATGAGCAAGAATAGAGGAAGGGAAACAAGGTAAGAGGCAGTTGCAGTCATACAGATAAGAAGAGACAGTTATTTAGACCTGTGTGGTGGTGATGGAAATGGAAATAAATGGAAGGATATTGGGCATAATTTGAAGATAAGCATACATGGCTGGCTGTTAATTGAGTATGAAGAGAATGAGGGGACTGTATTCAAAGAAGATTTTTAATTTTTGTCCTGAATAAGTAGGTGAATGATGATGTAATTTACTGAGATGTGGAAGGCTTGAGGTAGAACAGATTTATTTGAAGGAACACTCAAGGGTCTGGTTTTTACATATTAAACTTGAGATTCCCAATAGACATCCAAATTGAGGTGTTGAATAGGCAGTTTGATATATGAAATCTAGAGTTGAAGGAAGAGGTCTGTGTTAAAGATATAAAGTTTGGAGTCATAAGCATATAGATAGCATTCAAATAACACTTGATGAGATAACCAAGGAAATAAAAGTAGATATAAACCACCCCACTTTAAGCTGGGCCCCCAAAAAGTAACATCCTCAAGGTAATGGTGAATCAGTTAACTTGCACTATGTTAATTTACAGCCCAGTTTTCTGTCATCTATGTTGTCCATGAAACCTCTATTCCTGATCATAATTTAAGCCAGTTTCAGATTGGCAGTGCCCCCAGGCATCTGGCAGAAGAAAATGTAAAACCTCTCCAGAGAAGAAACCAACATCCTGGGACTCAAATTATTTTCACAAATATTTCAGATACAATACCCAGAATGCAAAGATACTGGGTACAAAAGAAAACAAGAAACAAAAATAAATAAATAAATAAGATGCAACAGAAACAATAGCAAACCTAAACAAACTCACAGACCTTAGAATAATTAGATATAATTATTAAAATAATTAAGCATCATGTAAAAAGAATTGGTGAACTTATAGGTAAGTAAAAAAGAAATACTATGTAATGCAGCATGTAGAGATTTTTTAGAAATGGAAAATACAAAAGAAATAATGAGAGACTGTGGCCAACTATATTTTCGCAGAATGGATGTGCTACATACTTTTGTGCAATGTGACCTTACTATTCTCTAATTCCCCTCTCCTTGATCTGTACTGGCATTATGACTCATTTGTCATAGACCAATTCTATTGGGTCTAATTTCATTTTTCTGCATATGGCACTCCAATTTTTTCAGCACCATTTATTGAATAGGGCATCCTTTCCAATAGATGTGGTGGAAGTGATGTTGTGTGATCCTGAGGCTAGGCCAGGGATCTTCTGGTTACATGTAGCTTACTTCTGGTTCTCTTTGGATTTTTCTCCCTGGAAGAATCTAGCCACCATGTTTGACTACCCTGATGCCACCATTCTGGAAAGGTCACATGTAGACCCTGTAGTCAATAATCCTAGCTGAGTCCAACTTTGCAGCATTCTCCACCAAGTCACTAGACACGTGAATGAAGCCATTTTGGGCCCTCCATACTGGCTCAGATGCCAACAGTATAATAAAATGGTTGCTGTTTTAAGCTACTAAAGTGTTGAGGTAGTTTGTGATAGAACAATAGATAACCAGAAGAGAGACAAAGGATAGAGGGAGTAATACTAACCAATGTTTAATTGAAACCCCAGAAGGAAAGGAAATAGGGATTAGAGGAGAAGCAATATTTGAAGAGGCAATGGCTAAATATTTTCCAGAATTTAAAAAAGACATCAATGCACAGATTCAGGGGGCTCAACAAATCCCAACCAGGATAAATAACAAAATGAACACCAATGCACATTTCATCAAAATGAAACTGCAGAAAACCCCAAGAGAAAACTCTTAAAATCAGCCAAAGAAAAAAGACAATACACTTTCAAATGAGATACAGAGAGGTGACTTTTCAATAGAACTAATTAAAGATAGACCATGGCAGAATAGAGGCTCCTGACTCTCCCTCCAGCAGTGGATGCACCAAATAAACATCTATTCACAGATTAGTTTCCTCTAAGAGAAAGTCAGAGACCAGGTGAGAGACCTACCCAGTAGATAACTGAGTAAACATCCACATCAAATATATAAGAAAAGCTGAGGCATGCTGAGTGAGGCATGGACACTGCCCAAGGCACAACTGGGAAAGGAATCTCCAGCACCCAGCTTCTGTCTGTGGATAGGAGAGCTTAGACATCACATAGAGTGTCCTAACTCTAAAGCTCTCCATGGTTTGTTTTTTAATTCTCTAACTCTGGGAATAGAGGGAATTAGGCATATGCAAGTCTCTCTATATGACAGTACCACAGGAAAAATTGGGGGGGTGCTTCATCCCCAGGGATAAGTGTGGAGAAGGTGCTTAAAAAGCAAACACAGGGCCGGGCGCTGTGGCTCACGCCTGTAATCCTAGCTCTTGGGAGGCCGAGGCGGGCGGATTGCTCAAGGTCAGGAGTTCAAAACCAGCCTGAGCAAGAGCGAGACCCTGTCTCTACTATAAATAGAAAAAAATTAATTGGCCAACTAATATGTATATAGAAAAAAATAGCCGGGCATGGTGGCGCATGCCTGTAGTCCCAGCTACTCGGGAGGCTGAGGCAGCAGGATTGCTTGAGCCCAGGAGTTTGAGGTTGCTGTGAGCTAGGCTGACGCCACAGCACTCACTCTAGTCTGGGCAACAAAGTGAGACTCCGTCTCAAAAAAAAAATCTTCTAATCTGAACATAGAGAGAATGAGACTGTACAGACTGCTACAGACTATAACAAAAACAAAAAAACAGTCAGCATAGGGCCCTAGGTCCAGAAGAAACTAAGTTCAGTGGATCTAGTCATTCTCTTGCCCTGAGGACACATTTGATCTAAGCAAATACAAACTGCTGGAAGCACCCACCCTCATTCCAAGGCCTGGTATATGTCATAATAGTAACCCTAACAGAAAATGGCATTGAATCAAATGATTAGATATGTCACATGCATGCCATTGCTTCCATCACAGACTGCTGTTCCTATCGGACAGTATCAATAGCATTTCTTTCCCTCTTTCAAAACATGTAATTAACAGATGATGTCAGACAACAGAAATGTTATCCTGTTTTCTGTATTTGATGAGAACCGAAGCTGGTACCTCACAGAGAATATGCAACGTTTCCTCCCCAATGCAGCTGGAGTGCAGCCCCAAGACCCAGAGTTCCAAGCCTCCAACATCATGCACAGTGAGTAAAGCAGAACTTGAGTCCAGTGGCTATAGGATAAAGGGAAAATAATGTAACCAAACTTATGTCCAGATAATGAATGAATTATATATGCAGATAAATTTGACAATTATTACCTATTAATGTATAATTTTACAGAAATACAGAAATGGGATCATATTAATGTATATTTAAAATATCCAGTCACTACTTTTTCCTTTCAAAGTTACTTGGTTGCCCTGTCCTTTTTATTTCCCCATCTCCTTCTATATTATACCTTTCCACCAACCATTCCGTGCCCAGATAACCTATTTAAAACATATTTTCTGGCCGGGCGCTGTGGCTCACGCCTGTAATCCTAGCTCTTGGGAGGCCGAGGCAGGCGGATTGCTCAAGGTCAGGAGTTCAAAACCAGCCTGAGCAAGAGCGAGACCCCGTCTCTACTATAAATAGAAAGAAATTAATTGGCCAACTGATATATATATAAAAAATTAGCCGGGCATGGTGGCGCATGCCTGTAGTCCCAGCTACTCGGGAGGCTGAGGCAGAAGGATCACTGGAGCCCAGGAGTTTGAGGTTGCTGTGAGCTAGGCTGATGCCACGGCACTCACTCTAGCCTGGACAACAAAGTGAGACTCTGTCTCAAAAAAAAAAAATAAATAAATAAATAAAAAATAAAATAAAACATATTTTCTCCATGATTATATAATCATATATAAAACATACATATATTGTATTAGTCTTCTGGGGCTGCTATAACAAAGTACCACAGACTGAGTGGCTTGATCAGCAGAGGTCTTTTTTTACAGCTCTGGAGGATAGAAGTCTGAGATCAAGGTGTTGGCAGGGTTGGTTTCTTCTGAGGCTTCTCTCCTTGGCTTGCAGATGGTCAGTTTCTCCCTGTGTCCTCACATGGTTTCCTCTCTGTTTGTCTGTCTGTGTTATAATCTCTTCTTTTTATAAGGATACTAGTAATATTGGGATATGGCCCACCCTGGTGACCTCATTTTAACTTATTTTCTATTTAAAGTCACTATCTCTAAATACAGACACATTCTGAGATACTGGGGGTTAGTATTTCAACTTATAAGTTTTGTGGAGATGCACAATTCAGCCAATCACATACATACATATGTGTGAGTGTTTATATATACACACAAATCTGAATAATCCTAAATATGAAAAAAAAATTAATTGCACTACCTTACAGGGAAATGCAAAATAGAATACCAATGAGAGAGCACTTTAGACCTATCAGACTGGCAAAAAACAAAAAGCCACCACCTTTCCTAACCCTGCATGTGCCCCAGACCCAGAGATAGAGCCACCCAACGAGTACCCACACTCCAGACCTGGCTATGTGGCTGCATTGGGCCTGCTCAGGTCTCAGACTCCAAAGCTATTGCTATAGTAAGCTAGCTCACTCCCCCGACCCAAGAACCAAGCTCTCACTGAGTATGTCCCTGCTGTGGGCAGTGGCTCAGCCACCATAGAGAGCTAAGCCTTGCTCCAACCCTGCAGCCACTGTAACTCTGTGCATACCTGTGCTTCCATT